ATTTATTTTAGGTCCTTTACATATTAAACAACTTTGCTGAGCACTGGGAATAACCACGTGCTGCTGCTGCTCATTCTTCAGCACCTTCCTTTTGCCCCTAATGACAGAGCAAGAGGAGGTGTTCAAGGCCAGACTGGATGGGGCACTGGGCAGCCTGGCTTAGTATTAAATGGGGAGGTTTGAGATTAAGATCCTTGAGGTGTCTTCCAACCCAAACCATTCTGTGAACAATAGCTGCAGTCCCTACAGCAGTGCTTCTACAGCCAGGTCAATGCCAGCATCCTTCATGCAGCACAGAAGGGATGCCCAGAGCTCACAGCCCAAATTCTGCTCACGTTGTAGAGAACAAGGCATGAGGCAAGGCTATCAGTTTCATTAATTGAGAATTGGAGGGGGCAGGAGGGAGGACAACAATATCACAAGGCATTATGTTACACTGCAGGTCAGGAAACCGTAGCGTGAAAGCTGTGATTGTGTCGGGCATTAAATGCCAGCAATGTTTCCAGGAGCACAATGCAGCTCTTACACAGAGGGAGAGCAGAGGGATGGAAAATGGGCGGTATGGATGGAGACATTGGGAGTTGGAGCTGTACAGCAGGACCGGGCCCTTCTTCGTGTCCTGCTGGGTGGGGGGAAGGTGGAGGAAAGATTACGGCTGCTGCTAAACAAACTGCACAATTGGCTCAACCCATACCCAGAGGGTCAGTCCTAAGGGAAACAGAGCTACTCAAACCCTTCTGCCACTCAGAAATAGGCTCAACTCCTTTTAATTAATGACCACGTGTGTACCGAGTGGCTCTGAACGGAGGCGCAGCTGTAGCTTAACAGATTTAATCCGATCGGTGTTAGGAAGACATCCTACAAGCTCATCCTGTGCTTATCCCTGCACCCAGCAAAGTGAGAGCAAAGCCCCAGAGATACATAACGATACACAGCAACAGCGCCGAAGGAAAACCACGCCACTTGTTGCTGCTGGAGATGCTATTGCTTTTGGATCGTACTCCAGAAGCACTGAAGTCAGCCTCAGTGCTGCTCAGCTTCAAGTTCCCTCCTCTCCGGCAATCCCATTATTAATGAGCACCGCTCTGCTAAATCGGGCGCAGGCGGATTCTGTAGCCCTGCTGCAGCCACTGGCTGTGCTCAGCTCTAACGGCGGCTGCATTCCTGGCTCGATTTCCCATGGCATTACGCGGACACAGCGCTCGGATGAAAGCGCGCTCAGTATTTCTTAGCATCGTTGGAGTTGGAAGGGCCCTTTAAAGGCTATTTGGTCCAACTGCTCTGAGATGCACAGGGACACCCACAGGCGCTCAAAGTCTCGTCCTCTGACCTCGGGTGCCCGCAGGGACGGCCCCCCAAAGCACCCCTTTTTGAGGCAGAGGAAAGCAGGGCACAGCGGCCGATTTTCCGAGCGGGACGGCGGATTCTTTCCCCCTAACACTTGGCAGCCTCGGAGCGCTGCATTCTTGCTCCGCTTTCTCACCGCGCTCCAACCCCGACCCGAGCCAAGGTCCTCCCCCCAGCTCCGCGCACTCTCACCCCTTACCCTGCCCGCAGGCTCCGCGCTGGATGGCGATGATGGGCGGCTGCCGGAGCCTCTCGGCACGGCGGCTGGCGGCCCGCAGTTGGCAGGGACTGGCGTAGGTCACGGCGTCGCTGCCGCACACGGGCTCGGAGCTGGCGCACACGCAACGCCCGACGGCCGCCCGCTTTCTCACCGTGCCCGATGCTGGCACCCCTCCGCCGGGCGGCACCGAACACCGCAGCCCCTCTCCGCAAGGCGGGCCGCCCTCGCCGTTCCCGCACGGCTCTCCTTCCTCCGCCCCGCAGACGCGGCAGCAGCCGCACGCGTCCAACACGGGACCGCCGGGGCAGGAGGAGGGCAGCGAGGGGCAGCGGGAGCGATCGCAGCGTTCGGGGCAAGCGGGCGGCGGAGGGGCGGCGAGCAGCAGGGAGGGCAGCAGGAAGAGCAACAGGGCGCTCCGGCACCACGGCGGCAGCATCGCGGCGGTGGCGGCGGCGGGAGGAGACGGAGCGGGATTTAAGCGGCGGAGCGAGGGCGGGACGGGGGGCGGGGCGGCCAAGAGTACAGCCCAGGGGTGTTGAGACCCCTCCGGTTGGGGTTTGAGGGAGTGGGGGGGCGAGGGGTGCGGGTTGGGTGTCAGGGAAGGATTCTTTGGGGAATGAGCGGGCACGGAATGCCCTGGGAGTGAGGGTTGTGCGACCCGGCCAGCGGGCACGGAGGAGTCGGACTTGGGGGTCTGAGAGGTCTTTTCCAGCCTTCATGGCTCTGTGCTCGTGGCCCCCGCGTTTATACCCTCGTATTACAAATACCAGCGTTCAGACCATAAAACAAAGGGAGTTGGGGGGGGACACGATGCTTACCCGGCTGCCCGGTTATCCGAGGGCACAAAAGCACCGTCTGCAGCGCTGCAATCAGAGCCACTCACAGCTGCTGCCTCCCGCGCTCCCTACGTGGCAACAAAAGAAGTTTGAGGAGGAGTCATTGCAGAAGAGACCAAAACTAATAATATACCACAATGCAGAGCAAAATCACAGAATCACCGAATGGCCCGGGTTGGAAGGGACCTCAAGGATCACGAAGCTTCAACCCCCCTGCCACAGACAGGGCCACCAACCTCCACATTTAATACTAGACCAGGCTGCCCAGGGCCCCATCCAACCTGGCCTTGAACACCTGAAGTGATTGTAATGCTAAAAATGATAAAGAACAGTTTGAAAACGTACACACATTGATTTTTCTTTCAGAAATCACACGTATGTAAGAGTGGGAGTCAGTGATCCTTTATGAGACTCTCCTGAAACAGGATATTCTGATTCTGTGATACACAACATAGGTATTATAGCAACATTTCTCCCAGTTATTTATGCATCCGTTATTTACTGGCTACTTTTGACCAACTCCCAATTGGAAATAAAGACAAGGCTGTGAGATGAGCACTTATCAGCACAAATATGTAAGAAATTCAAGTGCAGAGTGACTGCATCAGCTCTGATCTGCCCCAGCAGTGCATTCCTCTGCCTGCCCCACCCAGGCATCGTGCATGGCATCGCCTATGCCAGATAACTCACAATGGCTCTTTGAAGCCTCAGCTGCTGCAGGACCGACAGGGTTACAGCATGACAGCTCCTTGTTCCTCCCTGCATCAGTGCTGGTACTGCTGGCATGGCATCACTTGGGATCTGCAGTGGGAACAAGGGTTTGCTTTCAGCTTATTGAGGAACGTTGAAGGTCTCCTGCTGCCAACCATGGAACCAGAAAAGATCGTAGAACCATGAAGGCTGCAAAAGACCTCCAAGATCCCTGAGCCCAACCACAGCCAGTTGATCCATGTTCGTAGGTGAAAGGCTGTGTGTAGAGTATTACAAATTTTAGCTTTTATTCTATTAACTTCATAGGTTTCACCTGGACACACAAACATAAACACCCCACTTTCCAGACTAACCAATAGGTTTGGGCAATTTAATATCTTGGTTTGCTGACAGATTTGCTAATTACCCCTCTGTGTAGAAGTGCCCAGCACTCAAAGGGCAATACAAACCCAGCCACAGCTGCTGCTCCCCCTTGCTGTAATGCTTCCACCCAAAACAACGATCCACAGCCAGGAGACATCTATCAACAGGGCCTCAGCATCTGAGAAAAGGGCACTTTGGAGACTCACCTGTAACATCTTCCATCTCCTGTTCTCCCTGAGCAGCACCTCGGTTTCAGTGCTGGGGTTTGCTGATGGCTGGGTTAGCAGCAGGAATGCAGTGCAGCAGAGTGGTTTGGATTCTTGACAGGTGTGCTCACACTGCACACACAGATATGCAGAATTACAGTGCTGATGGACGTTTCAAATGCAAAGCCCTTAATTAAAAAGTCAAAGGTACCACTTTGAAGAGCAGTATATCACTGCTGCTCCATTAATTACCTTTACCAACGTGTTCCAGTTGCTTTCTTAGGCAGCACAGCAAAGATAAAGCAAAAAAGCAAAGCAGACATTTGGAACACAATTCACAGAGCAGCCCTCATTACCTCAGCAGAACATCCCCAAAGCGCTGCAGCCACTCATTGGCATCAGACAGCTGCACGGACTGTGCTCCAAAGCACAGGTGGGAAGTACAAGGCTAAAAGCATCTGATAGCACTGAAGCAGTGGAACAGGTTGCCCAAGGAGGTTGTGGATGCCCCATCCCTGGAGGCATTCAAGGCCAGGCTGGATGTGGCTCTGAGCAGCCTGGTCTGCTCGTTGGTGACCCTGCACACAGCAGGGGGTTGGAACTGGATGATCATTGTGGTCCTTTTCAACCCAGGTCATTCTATGATTCTGTCAGAAAGCGTAATTCTAGCACAGAGCAATTCCATTGTAAAGCCCGAGTGTGACCTCTAGGTGGTGCTGGCATCCTGTCATTGCAGAAGCTCAGACAACTGCGTTTACTGAACTATGTTCTGGACTACTACATTTGGCAGCTGCCTTAGGAGCAGCTGAATCGCAGGTTTAGCAGTCGATACTGCAGCAAGAAACTTAAGGAAAGGCATAGCTGTGAAGAATTATTAAATTTCCTCTCCAATAAAGGAGAAAAAATAGCAAACGCTTACCAAATGAACAGATGCACGACACAGCACACAGCAAGACATCTCACTTATTTCAGTGACCACGGCTCAGGTCACAACGGTCTGTGAATAAAAGCTAAGATGCACTAATTCTGTCAGAAGATGTCACAGTCTGACTGGATTTGGACAACTAGGTACCATCTATATAAAATATTGTATTCGATTACATTTCTTTATCTGAAGCTTGCATGTTGCTGAGACCCCAATTCACTGCACCACATTACAGTGCAGTCACTCTGCACTTTCATCACACAGGCACTTTCATCACATGCTGCTGCACAGCGAGCTGCTTCCAGGTGTCACGGACATGATTTCTCCTGTGTAACACTGAAAACACCACAAAAACATTCAATGCATTGCAAGAAAACAGAGCCAGCTGTTACTTTAAGTTACCCAAAGTGATTTATTGACAATTTAAATGTGACATATTTACAGCACTGTTTCTAAAATAATTTAACAATTTTCATAGATTTATAAAAGTACTGATAAATAGGAGACCCTGACAATTACCAACCACAAATATTTCCCTATTCTACTGAGCTACATCAGTAGTTCTTTCTGTTGCCCCCCTCCCCCTCTTTTTAAAAGATCCATAATGGAGCTGCTTTACCTCCACCCAATGTGTAAAATTGCCAATACCAAAATATAGTAAAATGAACATGCAGTGTGAAAGCTGTACCAGAGCAAGTGATTTCAGATGTTAGACTACAGTAAAAATATTTTAATGCAAAGTGTCTTCCACACCGAATGTACTTGTGAAAAAAATAAGCCTTTGAAGAGCTATTGTTTTGTCTTTAAAGAAGTTAAAACCTACAATACTAGTTTAGACACTTACAGAAGCTTCCAATTCTGTGCTAGTTTTCACATGTATCTAAAGAGTCAAAGAAAACCAGTAATATACAAACACCACGGCCTTAAGACTGTGGTTAGTTAGCTTATGGATAAAAAATGAAGGTGCTGACATAACTTAAGGTTCTGAAATTAGATTATATTTCACTCTATTCCATCCTTGGATCAACAAATTATCGTGGTAAAGCCATCCGTATCTCTCAGGCAGGAAGTCAGTTTGGAAGTCAGAGAGAAGATGGACTGGTATGATATGTATCTTAGGTCAGAGTAGACAAAAAAGTAACACAAAGCTGGACTATCTGAATCACAGTAAGCAGCAGCATGACATATTTGTGGGGTTTTGATTATAACAGTTTTTCAGAAACGATGAGAAGTACACACTCAATCTAATCCAATGCTTGAAATGTAAAGGTTCCTCCCCTTTGCACCACCGAAGCCCCGTAACACAGTGTACACAAACGACAAATATTCATTTTCTCTTTCCCAAAAACATCTATTGCACAGCCAGTAGATGCAATACCAGAAGCCTGGTATCCCTAGCATAAGTTTTCTATTTTTAAACAGCCGTTTCAAACAACACTATTCAGAACAACTCTCAACCCAAGGTTCAAAGCCATTGAGAATGGTTTGTGTACATACCTAACGTGAAAGTGTTTCAACAATGTGAGAAAAAACACAGGCACTTAAGATTATTAGTGCACCAAAAGTTATAGGCCACAATTGCATGACTGTGAACAGTTCAGTACCAATAAGGACAAAACTAAATGAGGAGGTCTTCCACTGATCCAACACAGAAACAACTGCTCACAAAGCACTGATAAGAAAACCATCCTCAAAACAGTAATCAAACGATACGTTTAGACATTTAATAAAAATAATTACTGCAAAGCCTCATGTAACACAATATGAACCCTACTTAGTTCAAAAGGTCCAAAGTGTCCAAATTCAGAAGTCCAATTTCCCTCCTCCCCCACTCACAACATTACATGCAGTCCATTAAAATCCAAATGTGCAAAAAGTTATAACCCGCCTTTAGGAGTGCATCAAAAATAGACTATTCAAAATATTATTTTAGTGGAAATTTTTCAGCACCATAACTAGAATTCCAAGGGAGCCCAGAATTCTTATTCTGATAACAATTCAGTTGACACTATTGATCCTAAAGAACAGAAGAAACATTTTGTGCATTTCCTGCTATCTGAAAGCCATGGAGAGAAACAATTCTCACATATGCATAAAATCTTACTGTAGTTCAGAATGAAGTTAAGTAATCACATATTTTGGCAATAAGGTTTTTACAACACAGCATTAATTGTAAATTTAGTTTGCCAGATTAGGAATGAAAAGTTGCTGGTACCTTGCTAACCTGCAAAAGTACATTTTTGGTTTTGTCTTTTGTTTACTTCACTGTAAATTGTGCAGTTTGGCCCCTCCCTGGTGATTTACTATCAGGCTTTGAGAAAATGCATAAGGTCCTTTTTGACCTTCGGCTGAAAGGCAATATACAAACAAACATATATATACACATATGTGTACATAAACACACATACATATATATATAAATCAGTGTTTGCTTTTATTTTTGTTCTTATTTCCTGTAATTTTCTTTGGTTAAAAGTCTGAGCAAGGAAATTAGAGGACCGAACAAATGGATCATTCTCCAAACACTTCCATCATTATACATCGCTAACTGGAAGGCTTGCATCATCCAGATCCACAAGGCCAGGATCCTGTTCCTGAGTGCCATTTTTGCTTTGGGGTTCTGAGAGGCCCTGTTCAGTCACTTTGGCAGCTGATTCTCTTGGAGCGACAGCCTGGATCTTGTAGCTCCCTGGCTTGGCCTTGGTAAAAGATTCGTGAAATCCTCGCTTCTCCAAGGCAGGGTATTTGGCGTGAGGGTTTGGGACCAGAGGGCTGTTGTGAGTGGCTGTGGAATGTGAGGTGGCTGGGGCTGGGAGGGCAGAACGGAGAGCATGGCTGGGTTCGGAAGAAGACTCGGTATGCTCCTGGAAAAGAACAACACGTGTCAAATCAAGTCACTGACATCACATTATGAAGACGCAGTTTCAGATTTCACTCTCAGAAAAATCAAGACAGGAAATACACAAAGCAAAGCATCAGCCATAGCAGGAGAAGGCAAGTGCTTTCCCAAGGCAGTGTATTAAGTGTGAGCCTACAGCAGGATGCGACAGCAACATCCATTTCTTCATTTGAAGAAATTACATTTCTCAAATCAAGCACAGCAGCTCCTTACACTTTATAATGTAGTCCAGCAAATTGAAGCTTCTCATTTTATTAAGACTAATATAACCTTCTGAAGACATGCATCTTCAAAGCTATTGAAAATGACGTCTTCCAGAAATGAATTTATTCTAACATTTACACAACAGGCACTTGCATCCCAAATCCTGAAGGAGCACACATTTTACAGGTTGCCCAAGGAGGCTGTGGATGCCCCATCCCCGGAGGCATTCAAGGCCAGGCTGGATGTGGCTCTGGGCAGCCTGGGCTGGTGGCTGGTGACCCTGCACATGGCAAGAGGGTTGGAACTAGATGATCTTGGAGGTCTTTTTCAACCCAGGCCATTCTATGATGCTCTTCCCTCTTCTCACAAGGATCGATCTCCTTAGTTTATTTTGGGGACCAAATAGAAATGGCAACTCTGCTTTGCTATCGTGACCACATAAAAGTTCCAAGTTAATGGCCCCAGAAAAAAAAAATCTTAGTCCTTTCAGCTGTCAAGTTACTTTCTTGTGTTAATAACTGTTACCTGCCATTCTGTTGACCTTTACATACCGCTTTATGAGACAGACGCTGTAGAAAATAATCTAACATTTACTTCCTGAAAGAAACAAATTACCAGACCACCTAGGTACTACTCAGAAATCTAAGGCACAGAGTGCACTTTTAGACATCCTAGGTAACGGAAGCAGTAGCAGATGCAATTTACTATAGTGAGAAAATACTGACAAAAAATGGCTGCTTAATGCTGACAGGAGAAAAACTCTAAAGGCCTGGAGGCTCAGCCTTTAACCAGGGAACCTGGGACATCTTTGAGCAGTGCAGGTGGCATCCTGAAGGTACCACTAGTAAGGATGAAACAAAAGAACTGAGGGACAATTTATCTGAGAAAAGCTGGAATCGTTTGGGATTGGCTATACTTTTACAATCTACTAAACACATACTCATATCCAGGCAATAGCTACAACAGCTTTTATAGCTGTATCTATCCATATTGGTGATCTACAATGAATGGGCTTTAAGAAAATAAAGCCTCTGTGTTCACTAGCACTGTGGAATCAAGCAAGCCATCATCACAGCAACTTCTATGTAGCTGGGGCTAGGTATCCCTTTAGATCATGACACGAGGACAGCCTACCTGACCTACACCTCTATCTCCAGAAGACAACATCTCAGATTCTGCACCCTATCTGTCAGTTCTGCAAGAATGTCTCAAAGACCCTTGGACAGCTAAAACAGCACAGGATGTTAAGTTAAATAATATGATCAGAACAATGTGCAGTGATGCACTAAATACTTCACTACATGCATTAGGAGCTGCTGTTGCTGCCACTTCTGCAATGTAATTTTCTGTGCATTTGCACAGAAAATGTTCTGTGTTAGTGCAGGAACTAAAGAAATTGGCAAACCCGTATGTGTACACAAATCAAGGCACTTCTCATGCATTTTATTAGCAAAAACCTATCACAGATGTGTCCAAGATGCAAATACATATCCTGAATGAAATCATTTTTTCATAGCAGTTTCCAAAGTTTCTTTTAGAATGCTATGACAGCGATTCATAAATGTAATCATAATGGATTCTGCCAAATAACATCGTATTTCTTTTCTGTATGATGTAATACTACATCATCTTTCTCTGGACTTCAATTTTGTGCTCAAATTCAGTGAAGTATTACATGTTAATTACACTGCTGTATTTCATACCTGATTTGACAGTTCACTTTAAGAAAAACATTTGCTTTAGAAGATTGCATGAGATTCAGTATACTACTACTGCTCTTCTTTTTAACAATACTCACAGGTGAACACGTAGGACAGCAATGAGGGAACTGAGGATGAGATCTCTACAAAACACTTTCTGATTGTATCAGTCAAAGGATACTTGGATTTTACTACCCACATTGACTAATTTCACATTTAAAAGACTTTGCTGCTACATTACTCTCAAGCTGTACTGCTTTGAACAATGATCGTACATTATAATGCTTCTACGTTTGAACTAAATTTCATGCAGACACTTACAAGCCATGCAGATCAGGCTGCAGTATTATCCTTCCAATTGCTAGAGTTAAGACGTGCATTTTTTGTGTGCACGCATCTGTATTAGTTTGTGGGTAGCTGAAGTTTAATTTTGCTTTTGCATAGTTTCAAAAAAATTTAAAGTAAAATGGAAATATGAACTCTCATGCAAATTGGTTTTTGTACTTTCGTTTCTAAATTATATTACATAATTTGCTGTGTTTAATACATATTCTAGTTTGAAGTAAATGTTTTTGTCACTTTGCAGTTCCAATTATTTTAAAGACAAGGAAACACAGTGCAAACCTGTAAGTGAATGATGTAATTTATGAGTTAGTTTTCAGTAATGGTAACAGGTAGCATTATTTTTAGTTTCTTAATAGCGCAAATTAGTCTCTAGTTCTAAGCCCTCTGTTAAGAAGGCAAGTTTCCATGAGAGCCCACATACGTGCTGCATTCACCAGTTCTTGATGTATACCTCTGTATACAAGGATTCGACAGCCTTCTGGCCTGCCGCATCTGGAACACAGTGCAAAGCTAAGATTAGAGTAACCTATACTTGGGGAAAGAAGAGAGGGAAAAAGAAAAGTGATGCAGACAGTAACAGCGAGGTTGCTCAGTTAGCCCCACGAAGGAAACAAACCAGCATACACAAAGAAAAGTTATCTGCATATTTTCATGCCCCCCAAAAGAAGTAAGATTTACAATAGGAAGTTATTACTTAAAACCAGCTCTCAGCTGCAAAAATAACTGGCAGCTTATGCTCAGTCGACAGAAACATCGATGCAAATATGTAGTCAGGTGCCAGATTTAAGTTACTGGATTTCAGATTATGGGGGTGATGACATATTCAGCTTATTACAAAACATCCCATAGCCAGAAAGTGAAGAAGCATACCTTGCAGCATCTGAACTGTAAAGTATTCCATTTGTTATATCTGGCTATACGTGGGGACGCTGTGACGTAGATTAAATGCAAGTATGGATGAAATGCTGGCATCCACACAGCTTCACAAACATGAAGATTTGTCACAGTGCCTCAGTTCAGTAATGCTAGATGGTGTTCACACTACGTTTCCAACAGCAAAGTCTAATTCATGCGAGCAGACATTTCTTCAGAAAGTGTTTTAAATGTGAATCTGTATCTGCATATACAATGAACTATGAGCAACAGACAATGATAGTCTAGCAGCTGGAGTTGTTACAAGCACATTAGGATTTTGTCACTTGAATGCAAAATTCAGTTATCAAAAATGCCTCGCAGGAATTAGGAAGGTTCAATTTTACTCACAGCAGCATAACAACAAAAGATCCAACTGAACTCAGAAGAATTCTTCTATGTTAGCACTTGCATTACCTACATGTTCAAGACAGTACAATGCACATAAGGCAACATATAAAGACTAAGCTAAGTGTTCATTAAAAACACAACATAATTTATGCCAGTCTGTAGGAAATTTCATGCAAAGATGCCACATTACTACAGGACAGAATGGAAGACAGACAAAAGTAAAAATCTAGAACCTCATGTGCAGAAGTGAACACCAACTAATTGCATTTCTTTAAGTTTCAGAGTAACATACGGAAGCTGCTGATCTTCCAGGTCCCCGCTGTGCTACAATGGCCCCAGAAATTGCTTTTATCCAACTGTGCATGTCTTCTGGACTGTCCGCCTGGATTGAATAACAAGTTAGGTTTAACTATCAGCTCTTTTTTCAGTGTGCTGGCCATCTGCATAAAAATCAGAGCCTTATCCTACTTTAACAGTCTCTTATTTAAAGCCACGTGGACTTGTATTTCTGAAAGCTGACATTTCTTAACATTTTGCCTTGAATTTACCATTATATACATATGTTTCTATAAAATAATAAGCAGCAAGTGTATAAATAAATACACACACAAATACTATTTACGTATTCTAGATTCATTTTTTGCTTAGTTTAAACAAACAAATTAAATCACCCACATTAATTCTTACAGGAGATCTGCTGACCTCCCTCAGTGGACTCTGCACAATGACAACTTCTGCATGTCAGTCACTTTACTTCTATGAGGTAATTACTGAAGAGCTACAGCAAAATAAGAAGCAGTCTATATTCAGATCTGCTATACATTTACATAGAACAAGAATCTTACAAAGATGAAACAGATTAACACTGAGTGTCAAAGGTATATGTATCTGAGACAAAGAAAAAGCTAAAGCTCCCTCTATGAGGTTGCATTTGACTAAAACTAGCATATAGACCATCAAGCAGCATGTGTAATGTGCCAATTGTGTTCAGCTGTGAGACAGCTCAGAACTCAGCATTTGGCTCCAAAAACTGTATCAGATAATTCAGGCCATTCTGATCCCACTAGAGAAAGCTGGAAATGATCTCCTCCTCCAGAAACAGGAGAAATAGCACTATAAGCATCACACTCCCACACAGGTAGACAGTGCAAGTCTTTGAGATTTACACTAAATCAAACATTAAAAAAATAACATGGTAAAGATGCAGTGAATAACATGCATACAGATACATACTGCCAAAAATACTTTCAGATACAAAAACTGGATGTTCCTGTGCTATTTTCACATGGCAACTAATTTCAATCTGATAACTTGATTACTGTAAATAAAAATTCAGTACCTCAAAGTAAAAGATTTAGTATATTGAGTAGATACTCTGAATAACAGCAAGTGTTGTTGGTATCTAAAAGCAGTACAGTAAAAAACAGTAAATCCTAGTGTGATTTGTTTAGTATTTGGGTCTTCAAATTTCATAGCATCTCTTACATGCATCTTCTGAAATATAATGAAAATTGTATTCCCTCTGAAAATCACAGTACATTTAAATCCAACTTTATAAGACAAATGGCACTGCTTCTTTGCTTTGACAATGTCAATCTGTTTCACCCAAAGTTTAAAAGAAATTACCTGTACATAAAAGGTTCGAGAAGTAGTTACAATTTCAAAGAGATTGTCTCTCATCATTATATCACTGTAAATGAAAAAAGAGAGTTCAACAGGAAGTTCAACTTTTCCAATTCACTTTAATACTCTAAAACGTGCAGAGAACCAAAGCATGTGCTGTCTAAAGACCTCTGCATTCTTCATCACCCTATATTTTTTATTTTTCCTTAAAAAAAAGTAGAAAAAGAGCAACTCATACTGAACTTAGCCTTAAGACTCTTCAGTTCACTAGTGACACGCATGCTTGCTCGGTATTTTTAATCTGAACATTCAAATTCCTATTATATTAAGTTGAAATGCTGTTTTCGTCAGATTTCTACTAGACTTCATATTTATATTTTTGTTTTGATTCAGCAAAACATTATTCCTAACTAGCAGCATGCTTAAAAGAAAAAAAACACAGTATCAATCTCCACAGCTACAGAGCCAATTCATTCCTTACTACATTGCCACTCAGTAGAAAGCAAACAGAAGGAGACAGTGAGTTCTCATCTAAACTTTGGTCTTTTGGCTCGAGTGCTTGAGTAAGACAAAGATCTAAAGATTGTAAAAGCAGAAAAAGGACAACTAGAATTGTTGCCCCAAATCAGACAGTACTTATGCTTCTCTGACTCATGACTGTACAATATTCCTTTATTCTGCCCTCGTCCAATGTATTTGCATCCTACAACAGTAGCCAAATACTGTATGTGTGAACACAGCATAATACAGCACTCCCAATATCAGTTTTATACACAAACTACCTGTTGCAAATGAAGAGCATCATACATGCATAATAAACTGAAGCTACTTAAGTTCCTCCCTATTTTCAACAAGCAGTCTAGTCACAACAATGCAGCATACTACGTTCCAAGCACCAGCTCTTCTCTCCTCACCTTTGTTTGCATTCCTGAACTTTATGGACCTCTTTAAGTGGTATAACTCTGAGAGGTTCCTTCTCCTGAAAAAAAGTAAAAATACTATTTTTAGGAAACAAACAGCACTGCTTGTGAACAGCAGAATTCTTTCCCTGTCTTGGGTGCCATGGGGAAAGATCCCACCGTTTGTATGATAAGCACCCCATAATCAGATCAAGAACTGCAAGATTAGTCATGTCCTTCCACAAAATGACATGCTGTTTCAAGAATGAACTATATGTGAGAATGAAGTGACATAAGATATTAAAACAAATACAAGGTGATTACAGAATATACCCTATCATTGTTTTTCAGTGCAGTACTGGCAGAACCCTAAAAAGAAGGCTGAATTCTGATTTAACAGTCACTCTAATCATTTTTTTCTTCTTCCCAATCATGAAAAGTTATTATAAGACACTGATAAAAGTTTCAAGAGTACTGAAACACATTTTTCAAATGCAAGTGCATTTTGGATTTTCTTGGAAGTATCGTTGATAAGCAACAATCAGAATCTTACCAGTTCAGACTTAAAATATCCTATTGTGTTTTCATCCAACTGAAAGTATCTTCTTTTCCAGTTCTTCATCTGCAAAAGGAAAATAACTTCTTATATAATAATACATACACAGTAATATGTATATATACATCTATCTATCTATCTATCTATATATATATATATGGAGAATATATATATATTCTCCAAGACTGCCTTTTTGGCAGGGGAGAGCACTGAAAAGATTTTATAATAGAAAATACTAGCTTCTAGAATTTTTTTTTTTGTGCAAAAACCTGCTCAAAATTGTAGCAGACCTGTAGGAAATGTTAGAAGACACTAATTAAGTTAAATGCTTCTAGTTAATTTTTAGTGAAAAACTGAAATGCTACAAGAAGGCTCATAATTCAAGATAAAATGAGTCTGGGGACTCACAGTGTGTATATCTTGCCTGATCTGAATAGTTTATTTACCAATAGTCAATTTAACAAGGCATCATATGAACAGTTCCACTTGTATTAATCAGTCTAGCAAGTGGTACAATTCTTCCTCTGAACTACACTAATATTGTAGTACACTAAAACAGTGTTTTCTAAACACCTCAGTGATTTAAAAAGCAGATTTTTAATTCGGATGCTTCTTGGAAACAAAATAAGGACCTCAACATAACTGAAGTAGAGCAGAATTTTTAGTTGAATGCACTAACCATAATGTGAAAATCTATGCATGAACAAATTTTCCTCTCCAAAACATCAACAATGTTGAAGATCATAAATACAATAAAGACAAATCATATTCCACAGTAGGACACTGTTTATTTTTAATCATCCTTAATACTGGCAGCAATGCTGTAATTGCTGGTAACTTTTTTTTTTTTCTTTACATCTGTTTACTTGGTAAGTCGAACTACCACGTTAAAACCTTTGTTCTTGACTAAGGAAACATGCTGATCTCAAATGCTTACCACTGCTCCTTGTTTTACACAGTAGCCAGCTTTGATAACAGCATTATCTGGGGGATGTTTAGCAGTAAAATAAGGAAGGTGACTTTGCGATCGTTTCAGGTAACTCCTGTCACCTCCTTCACTGCACTCATTGACTTCTTCTTTCTAGAAAAGAAAAAAAAAAAGGAGGGAAGTTCAGCATATTTTCATTCTTTTTTTCTAATGGTGAACCTACACTACCATGCTATTATCAGGGTCTGGGTAAAGACAGGATTTAAACAGCAAGGATATTTTCTATTTTTTATTGTTGTCCTAATAACTCCTGATGTTTCTGTGTGAATTTCCACCCCCTTCCCTACCCCAAATGTTACTGTACATCAATGTGATGTTTTTGTGCAAGATTAACTCTTACCTCTCACTCAAGAGGAAATGGTTGCCTTAGAACCTAATATTTTCTACGCAAAATTAGGGTTACTTCTGAAGGAATCCTTATATATTCACTGAACTTCACTTTTTGTCTTCACAAGCTTGTTTCCTAAGGCTCTTTGTGATGCTTTAATCTGCTGCCATCCTTACTACCTCTAGTAGCATAGCACAATCAACTGACATCAACTCCTTTCAATCCACTCTTCCTGCCCATTAAGATGACAGAACTTTGGTACTATTAACCCCAACAACTCATTTCAGACACATCCAAAAAAAAAAATACCGCCCCACTTCTTCTAGAGGTATTACCTGGGTAGGTGTAATGATAGGAACACCACCAACAATTTCTGTCCTGTAAGACACTTGCTTCTTTCCACCTGGGCTTTCAGCTTGACGGTTTGCATTATCCATTTGACACAGAGGATCAGACTGCTTTGGTACCTCAAATTGAAACACAATAATTGAGTTTTACAAAATTCGTATGAAAGCAGAAAAAAAAATAATCCTAAGAAATACTTTGTTTGCACTCAGCAGGACTTAAGTAATGTTTTCTAATTGTACAAGACTAGAGATAGTTTACGTGAAAATATGTTACAGTGGCTATTCTTCAGCCCTCAGAAGAAGACTAATGCCAATTAAGATGCTACCAAGTTGAAATGAAATCTAAAAAACAGTTCCAAGCTTTGCCATAATTGCTAGACTTGATCTTCAAGAAGGATGTCTAATTTGTAGAACTTGTTCTTTACTTTCCACTTCCTTTCACATTTCCTCAAATCAGTAGTAAGTGCTGAATGGAGACTCCCCACTGACTGTGGAACTAGCAACTAGCTAAATATACAGGTCAGTCAAATTCCTTCAGGAAGAAGCGATACCCAGATTCTCTTTTTTTCGCAGTGAATTTTCATGCAAGTCTTTGGTACGCTCAAATCTTGAAATTGAATGGATCCAGACAAGAACAACAGCTACTTTGTAGTTTTCTGTGATTATAGTCTGTACACCCAGGACTGCATGTTCTACAAACAAAAGAATCACAGAATGGCTTAGGTTGGAGAGGACTTTAAGGATCATCTAGTTCCAATCCACAGAGAAATATGAGCAGTCCTGAGAGCGCAAGTGTCAGCCTGGGACAGCTTTCCCCTGCTCCTCTTCATGAAAAATAGAAAACCATAAAGCCTTCTCATTCTGGTTTTATTTATTAGTAATAGTGAATTTTTGGAAAGTCCAAACAAATGCCTACATTAAAACAGTTCAAACAACTCATAGAAACATCACATCCCTAGATAACCCCCAAATATGTGAAAGCTACCACCACCAACAAAAAATAAACACGTGCTCTGCTCAGAACCCGTTCTTGTAAGGGTATGCTCTTAAAACAGCTCACAGCATCACTTCCCCAAATATGGACAGAAACAAAACCATAACTTCTGTCTCTTAACAGACTGAGGTAATCCACAGATGTTTTCCATGATGTGATAACCAGCTGCCCTGCTACAAACCAGGAAGGTAATTTATCAGTTTTAGAACATAGTTAATAGCTTAATACTTCTTTGAAAAGATATTACTTGAAATCAGGTAACACAGCATCATGTGTCTGTTCATTATTTTAATAATACTTTATGAATTATAAAACTTGTGACATCAGGTAAATGCATGAGTACATTTCTTTGCCTGCAAGCATCTTCCAGATATTTCAATTAATATGACAGCATATGGTAATTTAAAACCTTTATTAGAGACTATCATGTGTTTTATTAAAGTAATATTTTTCTCCAATTTCCAAAGTAAAAGGCAAACAAAAATGAACTCAAGTTTAGGAGGGAGTTCTGTCTCGTTCCTTCAAGTCTTGGAAATTAGCCAACACTTGTTTATAGAGATAAAATGGCCACTCCAGTGTAAAAGCCAGAGACGTGCAACACATTGACAAAGCTGACATTTGAAAACAGTGCTAGATAGGAATGAAATCACTTACTGTGATTTTGGTAGCTTTGTTCAGAACATTTACCCATTCTACTAGGTCTTGCTGATCATTGGCTTGTAGAAAATATTTTCTCATCCCTGCATTCATAACTGTTAAAAAGCATTACAAAAAGTTAAGAAAACTGAAATTTAAGAGCAAACTTCACACACAGTAAGAGCTATTTCAAACAGATAAACCAGTTCAAGTGATTAAGCTCAGTACTCCATACTCCATTTCTTCTTAGGAAATCATGGTAAGATATACATACACCCATTGACTGGCTTCCTTTATTCAAAGGAAACCTCACTTTCTTGCCTTTAAAAAAAAAACAAAAAAACAACTGCAACATTTAAACTGCAGCACACATAATCTGTTAAATACTTTTTATTAAAAAGAAAGTATTGGATCTTAGTCAGAATTTTTTTTTATAGCTGTTTCCTTTTCCCAGTCTCAATTTCCCCAAGCATCAAGGTTTTACAGCCAGGAACTTCTGCAGTTCTGACTTTCAATCCTCTGCCCATCATCTGCCATCCTTTGCAATAAATTCATTAATGGAATACAATCTCAGATTACTAATTACTTCTGGAAAAATCAATATTGATCATTAAATACATTATGGCCTGGACCACACACCTTTAAAAGAGTAAGAACACAAAACTTTTATTTTATTTTAGTAATTTGACAAAGAAAGCAGAACTTTAGTAATTCTATATTTCCACCCAGCAACACCCAGCAGACTTTTATCCAAAAAGGACAAGCATCCTTCTTTCTGAATCAAACTGAAAAACCATCACTAGGGACACCTCACAAACTAAAAATTTACACTGAAAGAAAGATTAAGATAACCAACAACTAAAGCTTTCCCAGAACTACAAGGTATTTGCTGCTTTACCTGTAACACCACAGTTGAAGTCATCACTAACATACATTCTAGAAATAGATACTTCTACATTGCCTTCAACACTTCCCCACAAGGAGATGGTTTAAAGCAAATATTCTTAGATGCAAATATCAATTCAAAAATGCAGAACTGTAGAATGAATTGACAACTCCCTCAATATTTAAAAGAATGACAATAATCACAGAATCACAGAATGACCTGGGTTGGAGGGGACCTCAAGGATCATGTAGTTCCAACCCCCCTGCCTAGCAATAAATAGGACTTCTTTTTCCCCTCTCCTAAAAGTTTCAAAGATGCTTTAATAAGCCAAGAATATTAAAAGCTGTAAGTCAGCAGCCTGGACAATTAAGGCTTCTTAAAGCTGGCCCACCATTAAATGTAACTTTACTGCTGATGAGGATAAACATCTCTGCATGTCGATATGGAAAGGAATCTGTAGATGGCACTGAACTGACACATGAGGTACAGAATCCCTGCAGCTCTACATGCAGGGTGATTACCAAGAGTTTCATTAGCTCCAACGCAGGCACCTCAGAGAAACCCAGTGCAAAGGAGGCAACTCCCTCCAGGGAGGAAACTATACACTTCATGGTTCACACCACGTGTTAGCCTTGTGTGAATCTGCACAAAGTGCAGCAAAGCTGCCTCCTCTGGGCCTATGTAACACTACCCATGGCAAAGGTGCTACCTAACTGTCAAAAACCCTGCAGGCATTTCCAGCACCTTCAACTGAGATAAAGCTCTTATGAGAATGCAGTCATAAAGAAAGGTTACTTGTGAACAGAGTAGTGGCCAACGACCATCTTTATGTATCATTTTGTGAGTACTAATAGCTTGCTATGAAATTCTGGAATCACGTTAAGCTCTGGACAAGTGACTCATAAAATCTAAGGGATTTTATGAGCTTCCAAAGCTTTGTCCAAGTTTAAACAAGCTCAAGCATCACGAAACCTAGAAGGTACCCCAAGCAAATTACTTCCTTCACTGAAGCACCATAGGCTGAAACTGAACCCAAGAGCATTGGCAAGCATTATGGTGTTTTAATACCCATTAAATGTACTCTTTTATGAGCAATACAGATTAAAATAGTTAAGATGACTTGCCTCCATAGCTGACAGGCATGCTGTATCTCTGAAAACAGCCATCATTTTTAATTAGCTCATTAATGTCTCAAAAACTTCAAAAATCTGAAGAAACAACTCTTACCTACTCCTCATTAAGCTAAAAGAAGAAAAAGCCATAAAAACACATTAGGAAGAAACCAGCATCACACCCGTGTTAAAGAGGAAATGGTGAGCACAAGCTATTTCTAAAAACAACATTACCAGCTGTATCTAGTAATAGAATTGCAGAACATATCTTTGTTTCAAGTTTCTGAAGAACTTACTTGGCATGCATGCTGCATACAAGAACTTACCAAAACAGAACTCTGCCTTTGGCCTTAGCTTAGTTGCATCGCTAACCTAGTAGGAAAATTAACATTTTAAATATCATTGAGTACACAAAATATACATCAAACATCACCACACTTTCTTGTAAATGGCTGAATTTGAAGATGAGCAACATAGTATATGCTATAGATATCATTATACCTATGATGATATACAGACAAAAAGAAAAACATCATGTAATATTCAGTTTAAGGTGTACATCCTATGGCAAAAAGACAGCTTAAGCCATATGCTCCTATTCCTTAAATTTTAGGATTCCTTACCCTTCTGAAGAAGGGAAAAATCTCACAGACAAAATGTTGAAGTTGCCAAATGCAACGCTTATATTTGCATTTTGAACTTCTATATCTCAACGGAACTAAAAATTTAAGAGCATTTCCTACTGCCCAAGGCTGCAGTCAGTAATTGTGAGCTTTCAGTCAAAGCAGTAGGAAGGAAAAAAAAATAGGAAGATGAGTACAGAAAACAGTCTGTAGAGATGTGCCCGTGATATCAATGTGGCTAGTTATCTCTCTTACAAGAATAGAAAAAAGTAGGTGATAAGATGAAGTAGAAGAACAAAAGGAAAAAGTTACATGCAAAGAAAGGTTGACTTTTTCCATTTATCTGTTAATGTAAAATCTGCTGTAAGTTTAAGCACTGAGACTGTTTAGTTTTCCTGTGCAAGTAAATGAATAAGAATTAAGTATTTACTACAAGTTTCACTGTTCTGTTATTCAAGATCATTACTGTTGCAAACTATCACGCCCAATGATTTATCTTCTACTTCACACCCCACCAATATCTACCAGCAAGTGTCCTACGTATCATCTTACCTTTGAAATATAGGTAAGTTTAATGACTCCAACAGGCGGAGACCCAGAGGGAAGATTCTGCAACAAATCAATGTTACAAAGTGAAACTAAACTATTCTCATTTCACGTTCAGTGTTTACGGATAAAAAGTGAATAATTCAATGCCACAAACAAAGAAAATCCTACACATTTTTACAGACAATACACAATGTACACTTCCAACAGGATCTAAACCACTTGTTTATTACACACACATCTGGTAATAAACTAAAAACAGAAAGAATGCTAGAAACAATACAAGCAGCAATTGTTTCAGAGGTGTATGTATTTGACTAGAGGAAAAAAGGATTCTTGCAGGTCTCCAACCAGGAAATCCGGAAAGAATACTTTTTCCTTAACAGATGTTGGCATCTTATGTATTTTGATCAGGGCAGGCGGAAGGGACAAGAAGTGACATTTAGCTATTATGCCAGATACTTCAAAGGCTGCCTCAAGTATTTTCTAAAAGAAATGGAAAAACTGTAGTTTATCTTTTTTTTTCCCCTTTCTTAAAGTTTCCACATGCACAGAACTAATAATAAAGCACTTTTTCAACTTTTTTTTAACATATTTACATAAGGAAACAAATCAAAATGATCCATTCGGCCTAATAACTATTGCACCTCACCTGGGGATTATCCATGTACCAGACCAGACTGTCTTCTCTCGTGTCCAGAATGAAGTACCGCCGCAGAAACTTCCCGCTATTCTCATTTTCTTCAATGTCTAAGAAACCACAAATGCGATTCTGACGATCCACATAAGGCATTTCTGACCCAGAACATCACACTGCAAACCAAGAAGTAGAGAAGTAAAGCAAAGCTCCTTATAACTGACTTCAAGACCACTCCATACTTTCCGAGCAGTTTCAACTCGTACCTAAAAGAGATTTCTACAGAATAAGTTTAGTGTAGCTGTTTCCTCCCACTACTACTGAATGCTCAGATGGCTCATCCTTATTTCCTTGAAACATACACTCAGGATATCTAAGCAGTAAGTAGAAGTGCTTGTTTTCACATTGCTAACAAATAATCACCAACTGGGCAAAAACTGAGATACTGTTCTTTACAGAGAGTGGTGAGGTGCTGGAACAGGCTGCCCCATCCCTGGAAGTGTTCAAGGCCAGGTTGGATGGGGCCCTGGGCAGCCTGGTCTAGTATTAAATGTGGAGGTTGGTGGCCCTGCATGTGGCAGGGGGGTTGGAGATTCGTGATCCTTGAGGTCCCTTCCAACCCTGGCCATTCTGTGATATTAAATTTATGCTTCTGTCTTAGATGTTGCCCTTTGTGACCAAGGATCTTTGTCAGCAGCACCACCATCCAACATGCTTTTTTTGTTTCATATTTTGCTCAAGCAAGGCCAACAAGGCAGCTTTTAGAAATACTGATTCCATTTTCTCCTTATTCCTAAAAAAAAGGAATTTCATGGCTGACAATGGTACAAACAGACAGCTCTTCATCCTTGTACATCAAGCAGTAAAAGTGACATATATGCAGCAGAAATGTGAACACATTTCCTAGCCTCTAAGCAAAAGAGAGTCATCATGGGTTGTAATTTCTTGGGGGTTTTGTTTCCTGCCAAAGAATCTGCACTACTGACCACCCGTTCCCATTCTGCCTGCTTCAGCTTTTTAAGGCTCCACCTTTTTTTTGGTTTTGCCTTCTCTTAAAGGACAGTTGCTTTACCTTATAAGCCAGCCCTGCAAGACTAAAAGCAAACTTCCACATTAAAAAAAACCCACCAAAATCAAACTTAAATAATAAAATCGGGCTGGTGCCAACCTGTACTAGGTCACGACCAAAACAAAAATGCAAATTCTTCTTTGCATTTTGCTAAAAACAAACAAACCAAACCAACACAACACACCTCAAAAATATTAAGTTGATGCATGAAAGGTTTAAGCACTTGAGACTTTTTCTAAGAACTTTCAGCTTTCATTGTGTAATTTGAAAGTTTATTACTTATTAAAATGCACTCCATTTCCATGCTTAGTTACTTGATTTAAATATATATATGCACATAAGGAGGCAGACACCTGATAACTGTCTGTGTCTAGATACTCATACATCACAGTACAACACAAGGCACTGGTAAGTACATTTTGAAGTGCTCATGTTTGGCAATCAGATGTAGACATAAAGATGTACTTATTTCTGGATATCAGATACACAAATACACAGACCTAAGCTTGTATTTACAACTGTCCTTTTATACCACTGGTTAGGATTTGAATACCATTCAAATTTTGCACCAACCACTGAGAAATAACTTCTTTTTGCTGTCACGATCCTGACAACATACGAGAAGTTGTTCAATTAACCAGTTTTAAGGCAATTTATTCCACCTGTGAGGTAACGAACCTTTTTTGCACCAGCACCACATTAACCTCCTGGTGCCAATTCAAGTCTGAAATGCTGCCACTGGGGACCAGAGTTTCCCAGTTCCATTCAGCAGTGGTTGCAAAAAAAAAAAAGCTGAATAGACTGCAGTATCAGAGTGAAAGGCTACTTAAAAAATCCAGTTGTTTTTATTACTTTTTAAATTGTTTAATTCTAAAGATATATACATTTTTGTATACAATGAAGTTTGCACACTTGCTGGAGATGCAAGATATTCTTTACACAGTGGCAAGGATGTTACTTGGGTATAAGCCTGCACTGAGTACCTGACCAATTGGTTCTTTTCCCCTTTAAGAGGCAAAGGAGTGCCCACATATAAGGTATGCAATGGTGGTTTTAAACTGCCGAGACACAGGTTTGATTTCTAATAAAGTATCAAGATTTCCTAAGGTGATTAAATTCTCCTTCCGTGCCCTCACAATGCAAGCACCACAGAACTCAAGACAAGCTCTGTAACACGGTTCTGTTTGTAACCAAGTGTGAAAGCAGACACTTGGGCACTCTCAAGACTGTCCTAACAGTAACCCCACCAGCTCTTGGATTTCTTCACACTGGAGGAACACCATGAACCCTATACAAACAGCAGTAGCTCTGGGCAAGCGTTAGAGCGGCTGTTTTCTAAATTATCTCTAAAATGGCAGAACTTGGCATCACAGTTTTAATTTAAATAAATGTAAAACTTGTTATTTACCACTGCTCTCCCAAATTGTGCCAGGCTGTCCCAACAAAACATGCAGTGCTTCTGGGACACAAGTCCAGCTTAACATCATGTGCTGAAGCTCAGAGAAGCTGATAAGAAGTATGTGTCAATGGCTGGTTTCCTGCTGGAGTAGGCTGAAGCTGCGCTTCATAGGATTTCTGAAACCTACCAGATGCTAAAAAACCTAAAGCTTCATTATAGAATTGAAATCCAACATAAAATCATGCACTCATCTTCCAGCTGCAGTACTCCGCTTCCATCCTATTATATCTTGGCAAGAACCCATCGTCAATTAATACCAATTCCATTCAGCTTTCATTAACAAACCATAATTTGATAAGGCACATAACAATCAATTTAGGCCTTTCTTCCAGTTATAAAGCAGCTCAACACATGACAAAACCTCATTGCAGCACCCTGCCTGGCAGCTCCAGACAGACAGCAAAGCAATGAAGGCAGAATACTGCATTAGTAATATCAATACCTCAGGTTGGAAGACCAACCTAACTATTCTTTAGAACTTCAGCTTAAAAGTGCTCTACATAATACAGTGTTATGTAACAGATACCATTTACTGTTAGTGAAATTATTTCAGTGGAACAGCTCTTGCAGCCTCACAGTGAGGGCTGTGCTATAAGCCAAACAGGACGTCTCGCTTATTTTTGTAGCCTTACATCCCTTTTTTCAGCAGCAGAGTACTAATTTAAGAAGGTACATACCTCAGTCCAACTTCTCTCGGATTTCCCCTCTCACCACTCTTTTCCTCTGTGTACCAACATTCCTTAATATTTATATCACAGCTGAAGGCTTTCAAGCCTCCCGGGCACCTCAAACTAAAAGTTACTGAGCACCTTGTCCCAGCCTGCAGCTGTGCTGCCCAGTTATGTGACCAGGACCCCAAGAGCCACACCAGCATCTTGCCTCACCAGCTGGGAACAGCCTTTTCAAACTCTCCTACACTATTTGCTATTTTTAGTTTCACACCAGCACCTGCTGAGCTCAACTCCTTTACAGTTTGAAGGCTTCCTCCACCTTTTGAAGTCCAAAGCCTTTATAAGACGAAGAAAGCAGCATGCATGGTAGTATTTCGATTATTTAGACTTTCCTTTGACAGTCAGTGCTTAATTTATACAAAGCAGGCATAAACAGAAGGAAAAGGGGAAGGGGAAAAGCTCCAGCAATTGCCTGTCTTTCCTGCAGTTCCAGTGGCAGCTCAATCACTGCCAGCTCTTTGCTTCTGCCTCAGCAATTACTATCAGCTTCCTGCTGTAAATCAGCAGCTCACGAGCTGGTCATCATTTTTACTGACCATTTACTCCATTTATTGACTCCCATGGGTAAAGGATGAGTTCAGACTGTCCTACTTATATCCTGCAAACCACAGCAATGAAAGCTTTCCTTCTTACATGCATACAGGACAACAAAGAGGAAGAGGGAGAAAATCCTGAGACAACCAGCTCTGAAGAGCTTCTGAAAACCATGTAATCTTCCAGCACAGTTGTTTAAACTTTTGATTGCCCACCCCTTGAAATGTTTTCCAGCAGGGAGGCAGAATGCTGCATTGTTGACTTAAGCCCAGCGACAACTTCTCTCCCATCTCTCATAGACCCCTTACAGTTTTCTTAAAAGTACCCAAAACATGCCAGAAAAATCAAATCAAATCAAACCAAAACCCTGGCAGCTAGAGAGACAGATGACTGGGGCACTATTTTGATGATAATTTAGGACTGACTGTTCTGAAATGACATGCTAAGCTTCCTTGTTTCCCAAAGATCCATCACTGTTTCTGTTCCATTTCTGTCCCAGACGGCGCAGCAAACTGAGTGCTTCTGTTAAACTGATGACATGATTGATTTGCTAGAAGCTTAAGAAGCTATTAGCAGTGTTCTGCAGATGAGAACTGAAGTCTCCAGGAAACGCTGATCCCTACATTTGGGCTCCTTCTCCAAAGTGGTCAAAAATAAGGAAAAAAGCAGCTGCACAAGGCTGGTACTTATCTGCAAGAGAATTCTTAAATACGTGAAGAAACACAAAAAAAAAATTAAAAAAATCCAATAAAAGCATCAGAAGCCTCTTCTATCCCTGATCAAGCTATGAGGCATGTCTAACAATAGAGCCCTCTGCTAGCAAACATCTAACCCAACCTCCAGCCAAGCCACAATATAGAAGCAGCCTTACTTGCACTGATGAATCACCCCTGAAAAAGAGCAATGTTATCATGCACTTAAGCCTTACTCAGTCATCACCATCTTTAAAACACATCTGATCTATTGTTTTCCAAGCCTTGTTAAATCACAATAAACCAACTATTCCCTCCCCTCCTTTCCTTACTTCAGTAAGACAAATGCCTGTAGTTGTACTCCACATCATCTACAACTTGAATGCTACAGCATTAATGTGCTTTCATACTCACATAGGACAGAGTCCTAAGGAAAATGCTCTGACATTTCTTTAGTCAGTCAGCTATTATTTATTATATCGACAACTAAATATTCATTCATTGTGCAAGGCTTTGTGTAGGTCAGAATCCCCAGCACTTTGAAGGCTGGAGGTCTCCTCCAGAATCAACCTTACTTAGCTCATCCCATTAGCGTCACATGAGGATTCACACTGGTGAGGAGTAATCTCGGAGCTCTACAGTAAGAACAAGTTCAGTGGGAGCTCTTCAGTGAGAACATGGCTTTGTCTGC